TTTTCTCTTTCTCTTTTGTTTCGCCTTCACATAAATGTCAAATTCTTACAATGAAATTATAAATCAGAAATATATATCCTTCCAAATTTGCCACCCAAAATATAAATTTTGTTAAATCAGTTCCTGATAAATTGTTGCTAAACACAAATAAATATAACTCGTCTTTCCTTTATTTCAGTCTCATTTCTTTAAAACATTCGCGACAAACGTTTTCGTTGTTTTCTTATCGCAATGAGTTTTCGACGCTGCAGAAAAAAATGCATTGGAAAAATCAGAATTTCATGTATATTTTAATTTTCAATTGATAATATAGCGAATTTCATAATTTTAGATGTGCTTAAATATCGTTTCTTTTGTATCGAATATAGTAATTCATTTATTCTTTCTAAAATAATCTTTAATTTCTATTCAACCATGAACAGGAAAATGGGCAAACCTAAAAATTAGTTCAGCTGATTTCAATGAAAAGCAAAATTAAAATAAATTAACGAAAAAACAGTGCACAGCAGCAGTGGGATGTTATAAAAAGATAAACGTACCATAATCTCGCAGGTGAGTTGCAATTCGAGATACTCCAGCATCTGAATATTATAATCCTGGATGAGGAACCATTCCCGACGGAGCAACAGCACCAGTTCACTCTCGACTCGAAGTGCATCCGTGTGGAGTTGTCGAGCTTGTGCTGAAAGTCGTGTTTCTCTGCGGTGAAAATCGAATTGCTTTGGACTGCGTTCTCCGGCCATTTTCCAGCCTGTTATCATCATAGTTATTATCTCACGAATTGTTCTCGAGATTTTCCAATAAAAATTTTAGGATTTAAAAGTGAAAAAATGGGAACGATTAGAAAAGTTGGAAAATTATTTCGAAAAAATAGTTGAATATTAAAGAAACTATAAAACTGAAAATATTACCGTAAATTATCAATTATATAATGTAATATTATTTGCAATTTTTTTCTTTAAGCTTATTTATTTTAGAAATATTAAAGCATACAACTAGCGATCACTCAATGAATAATTACACAATTTTGAAGAATCGACGAGGAATTTTAAAAATTTAATTAATGATAATGTTACGAGTATGCTGTCATTCAGAAACAAAAAATAATTTGATAGAAACTGTCAATTAGCATAAACATTGCACATGACTGATAGAGAAGCAGCATAATTTATGCAAATTTCAACTATCATTTTTGTGTTAAATAACGGTGACTTGTAGGCATAAAGTTGGTGATTTTTATAATTTCAATGATTTATAAGTTTATTTTTTGGAAAATCATTCAAAATTTTATGGTATTTAGCATTTGTCAACAGAAAACGAAACATTATCGTTGTTATTGTATAATCAACTGGTACTTTTTTCAAATTTTAAGCCAGAAGATTAAATTTCAGATTTAATTTACAATTTAATCCAATTACTATCTGCATTTAATGGAATATTGTAAGTTGAATTTGCACCTAAGAAAGTAGAAGCTTGCTTAAAGAAGAAATAGAGAAGAACGCTTTTTCTTACGGAAAAATAAAAACAAACTTCTTATCAAATTGTTGAAAATTTAATTTTTGGAAAGACTTCAATTGTTCTTATGGAAATGTTTGCTCGAGAAAGGTTATTCAGCAATCAAATATGACATATGAAATTGATTTCTCATAAAATTTGTTATTTCTAAGCGGAAAAGTTAGGCACCACAACTTGACGTATTTAAGTATAATTATCATTTTTCTCAGTTTTTCCCCGAAAAAGGTTAAAGGTTATCCATATCTACTATAAATGTTATTATATAATCACATGAACGTAACTTCATATATGATAAGCATGTTAAATGTGAAAATAAATGTTTTCGAAAATCACCGTTACATAAATAAATGATGACAGGAAAAGTGGAAACGACCACTTACCGGACTGATAACTTGTCGGAATAAGACTATTCGGGAACCACGGAAGATGTTGATTGCATGCGAATTAAAAAATTTGAATAAAAAAATGGCTAAAAGTTGCGGAAAATTTTGCATATTTTGTAAATAACACTATATGGTGAGTTACAAGTAATGTGCAAGGAGACGGATTTAAATGGAAATTTCGACAATGTAATTCGTATCTCTTTGAAATTTTCGAATTTACTTTCAAATTTGAGATAAATTAAATGCAAAAAAATTGCAATTGGAAATAAAACTTGAACT